TATGAGATGAAGGAGGGGTGGTGAATCCCACAGCTGGTGTGAGATCCAGTTCATCCTCTGTGATTCCAGGTGGAGGAGTGAAACGAAAGCGCTGAATGAGGGAGGTGAAGAAGAGGAAGAGCTCCATCTTAGCCAGACCTTCTCCGAGACACATCCTGCGACCTGCAAATGCAAAGAGTTTACACTCATTTAAATCCAATCACGTCTGTGGAAGTGTACATTTTATCAAAGTTGTCATACCTGCAGAAAAGGGCATGAAGGCATCTCTCCTGACAAATTGACCCTTTTTGTCCAGAAAATGTGAAGGGTTAAAAGTGTGTGGGCTCTCCCATTCACTCTCATCATACAGGACAGAGGTGAGAAGGGGAAACACAATAGTTCCCTGTGGGAAACAGAAGATTTCTCATGTAGATGTACATCTACAGAACTAGTTCAGGTTATCAGAAGTGAATCAAGATGTTAAAATATATTTAGGTACAGCAGCTGACCTTTTTGATAAAGTATCCCTTGAAGGTGACATCTTGGCTAGTTTGGTGAGGAACAGACATGGGAGCAATATTCGCCAGTCTCTGAGTCTCGTGAATGACTGCATCAGTGTACGGCAGGTTTTTCCGGTCATCTACACAAACTTGTCGGCTTCCTACTACCCGGCTCAGCTCCTCGTGGACCTGCTCTGCAGAGACAAATGAAAGAAACAAATTTGTCCACATTAGTTTTAACAGATCAGCTAAAATGTGTAAAAAAAAAAATTAAAATCCAAAATATACACAGAATATTGTTATGGTGTACATTGTTTGCATCTGACATGTGTATTTATTTACCACTGACTGGTAGTAACAAAGACAAAACTCCTAATTTTTTGCCTTATCTCTCTGATATCACATGCTGAAATGTCAGTAAACCCATAACTGAAGTCCTTGGTCTTGTACCCCAACAGGACACTGAACTCTATTTATGTGTTATTACCATACATAATGCACCATGTAGTATTTCTAATCATGCACATCCCTTTATGGTGAGACTTGCATGTATCGTCCAGTTCCTTACCCTGTATGTGTGGGTATTTAGCCATTAACAGCAAACCCCATCTCAGTGTGGCTGCTGTGGTGTCAGTGCCAGCAGCAAACAGGTTGCTCACTGTGAATGTCAAGTTCTCCTCATTGTAGTGAGTATCCAAAACACAGGAGTCCTAAAAGAAGTAACACTCACATTGCTTATTGCTATCAAACCTAAAGTGTAAATAATATTATCATAATTTTAAAAAACACATATTGTCTTACTTCTTCTTTCTGTTTCACAATCAGAAAACAGTCCACAAGCCCTCGGCACAGTC